TTCACGTCCTCTACCGTCTGTGCCAAATAGTATTTCCTCTCCATGGAACATTGGCCCTTTCGGGTCAAATATGGGAGTCCAAAATTGAACGTGCTTTTATGGTCAAAATAGGGTTTAGGCGCGTTCACTGTCTTTTGTTGTGGCAAATTTTTGCTTCTGAGATTCGGTGGCAGTTGCAATTTCCTCCATTTGTGGCAGTTGCAATGTCCTCGATTTGTAGACTGAAAGGGTGTAGTTTTGTCGCGCAGCTATTGAGTTGAGTGCATGGTGTGACACAGTGAGCTGTGGATTTCATTTGGAATGATTTTCGACTGCGACGAACATGGCGTTGTAAACTGCGGATTCAGAAAATAGCGAGTGCTCTTTTTGGTACAGAATTGGTGGTGCCTTATGTAATTAGAGTTAAACGCGTGTGCAAGTTCTGATCTGTTTGTAACTTCTGCTTCCATCGATGACTAACTGAATTTCTAATCTCGGTTTGTTTGTGTTAGCATTTCTGATAGCTGCCTTATGTTTTTAATGCGTGTATATGCTAGTGAATACGCTAAGACTGCAGTCTGTGTACATTTATTTTACACAAGAGACAGTTATGGACCTTCTGTGTGTCTTTTGGTGGCACACGAGCGGAGCAACTATGGGATAACCCGATTACTATAAAGCTAAAATTAAGATTACCAAGATTACCATGACAACACTATGGACTAATGAGAAGTAAATTAAAGATATACAAAGAGAAATAAACTCGCAAACAGAACTGATTCTCCGCATCAAAGAAAAACTGTAACATTCTTTGCGCTACCCTTAACAACGGAAACCAACAAGGACACTGAGACAAGGAGGAGAATCGATGTAGAGGAAGACCACACGAGAAGATGACAGACATTTTGGTGTTGTGGTAAGAAAATTAATTCTGGGAAATGAATAATAGTACATGAGACGTAAAGTTTTGTATACACACCATTCCCACAGACACACGTCAAGGACTATTAGTAGATCATCTTTCTTTGATTCTTTCTTTGTTTCTTTCTTTCTGTGTTTGTTTGATTCTTTCTTTGTTTCTTTCTTTCTGTGTTTGTTTGTTTCTCTCTTTGTTTCTTTCTTTCTGTGTTTGTTTGTTTCTCTCTTTGTTTCTTTCTTTCTGTGTTTGTTTGTTTCTCTCTTTGTTTCTTTCTTTCTGTGTTTGTTTGTTTCTCTCTTTGTTTCTTTCTTTCTGTGTTTGTTTGTTTCTCTCTTTGTTTCTTTCTTTCTGTGTTTGTTTGTTTCTCTCTTTGTTTCTTTCTTTCTGTGTTTGTTTGTTTCTCTCTTTGTTTCTTTCTTTCTGTGTTTGTTTGTTTTTCTCTTTGTTTCTTTCTTTCTGTGTTTGTTTGTTTCTCTCTTTGTTTCTTTCTTTCTGTGTTTGTTTCTTTCTCTCTTTGTTTCTTTCTTTCTGTGTTTGTTTCTTTCTCTCTTTGTTTCTTTCTCTCTTTGTTTGTTTCTCTCTTTGTTTCTTTCTCTCTTTGTTTGTTTCTCTCTTTGTTTCTTTCTCTCTTTGTTTGTTTCTCTCTTTGTTTCTTTCTCTCTTTGTTTCTTTCTCTCTTTGTTTCTTTCTCTCTGTGTTTCTTTCTCTCTTTGTTTCTTTCTCTCTTTGTTTCTTTCTCTCTGTGTTTCTTTCTCTCTGTGTTTCTTTCTCTCTGTGTTTGTTTCTCTCTTTGTTTCTTTCTCTCTGTGTTTGTTTGTTTGTTTCTTTCTCTGTTTGTTTGTTTGTTTGTTTGTTTGTTTGTTTGTTTCTTGCTTGCTTGCTTGCTTGCTTTCTTTCTTTCTTTCTTTTTTTTTTCTTTCTTTCTTTTTCTTTCTTTCTTGTGCTCTCTTTTTTTTTTCCCTTTCACAAACTCCCTCTCTTTGGAACTCTTTCCGTCTTTTGCTCTATTTTCGATCTTCTATCTTTTTCGCGATATTTTTTTTTGGTATGCACCCTTTCTCTCTCCCTCTCTCTCTCTCTCTCTCTCTCTCTCTCTCTCTCTCTCTCTCTCTCTCTCTCCTGATCTCCTCTCTCACAAACACACTTTTCTTTACAATAAGCGAGAATATTTTCGCTGTCTTTCGTTTATTTTTCCTTCTATCCAATCTTTTCCCAAACTCCCGAGGGAAATCTCTGAATATTTCCCGGCACGCCGCCTTAAACACGCCACCTACCGCAACTCATGACTAGCAATAAGAGTAGTACACTGATTTACCGATGTGATGGGTCGGAGTTCAATCAGTTATTAAAAAACAAGAACAGTAAATATCCACTTTTAAGGCGTTTGTGGTGAACATAGGGTGCCAGGGAGGCGACAACGCAACAACCATTGAGCTAAAAACGAACTCGAAGTATTCAATTTTACATTAGAAGAAAACCACAAGTGACATAATCATACTTTAAGAGCACAATAATAATAATATCAATATGATGAATGGCAAATAATTCTAATCATACACTTGAATGCAGGATATGGTATATGATACCAGAACATCCAGCCTA